CTCAACCATTGTTTCGTGAGGTTCTCTACTACTATGATACTCTTAACCAATGCAAATTACAAATACATTTTCCCTTTTGAGCTGCTCACACATGAGCAATGATATGAAGAACGCGACGACAAAGTGTGCTACCGTAGGCACACCGTAACTCAATCCATTGTAGATCGCCGTTATATGTGCACTTCCGTAGGTCTTGGTGGTTCGTTTTATCAGTCATAAATAATCAAACAGTAATTTCAAGAGTATCCGAACACATGATAATTTCTGTGTCTGTGAATTTCTGTGTTGGGAAAACCTACCGATAAATCTGATACTCAGAAAAATGATATACGAATCCAAGATACCCAGTTGTGGTAGCCGATAAATCACTCATGAGGACAAAAAATCTAAGAAACTCCAAAATCACATCGTGCGGCGATCGTATGAGCTAGCTTTTCGATCCATTTCTAGACTTTCGTTGGTCGTCGCTCTTGGTATGGTAAAATAATTGGTGTTTCAGAAAGTTCTGTCGTTTTCTGACACTCCACATTTGGATGCTTCATTTCACTTGAAATCTAGGAAACTGCAATTGGTATGGATATCATTTTGAAGAGCTTTTCCAGCTCTATCCAATGCTTAGCTCAGCTTTGTTAAAACATTTTCTTATAGCTTTTTCAAAGCTTTGAATGCGGTATACTCGATGAGCAAGTTGGCATGACTTTCTTTTTCTAGCTTTAAATAGACCTGAAAGTAGCGGGAACAGTTCAAGATATTAACGATGCACTTGGCCTAGATTCGCAATAAATGTGCTCAGAAGCAGTAGTTCAAAAAGTTATTGTAACGAAAGCGAGAGCCTTGAATATGATAAGAGTGGTGGTCGGATATCGGACGTTGCACCGAATAGCTAATACAAACTTTGCAGAAATTAAGCTGTGCTGAAGGAGGGTTATGGCAGCTTTCATGAGCGGCTGGCCATGTTCTTCAGTATCAGATGGAACTGTTACAGTGGAGAATCAATCTTTATATTAATTCAAAAATCATCAAAAACTCTAAGACATGGGTCCAGCATTCCTCATTATAAAGGAACGGACACATCCCTGAAAGGTGTCTTGAACGCACATCGCACGCCAACCCTGCACAAGTTGGACCAGCTGGGCTACGGAGCAGGTTCACATC